CGGTATAAGTTGGGAGCCGTTGCCCCAACATTCCAAGAATGATAAACTCATTAGCCTTTATTTGGGTCTCGTTCACCAAATGGATTATTTGCATGGCACCAACAGTTAAAGGTAGCGACAACTGGACAACTCAACAAAAGATGATTTGTTGAATTGAAGTACATCTTGCACGTCGGCTGCCAAAGAATACAGAGGGGTATCAACATTCCACCTCACTTTGTCATTATTAGAAACTAAGATTGTCCACAACAAAGCAGCCCTTGTTGTTTGATCAGGTAGCCGGTATAAGTTGGGAGTCGTTGCCCCAACATTCCAAGAATGATAAACTCATTAACCCACAATCGGGCCCAGTTCACCAAATGGATTATTTGCATGTCACCAACGTCTAAAGGCAGCGACAACTGGACAACTCAACAAAAAATGATTTGTTGAATTGAAGTACATCTTGCACATCAGCTGCCAAAGAATAGAGAGGGGTATCAAGATTCCGCCTCACTTTGTCATTACTATAAACCAAGATTGTCCACAACAAAGCAACCCTTGTTGTCTCCATCAGGTAGCCGGTATAAGTTTGGAGCCGTTGCCCCAACATTCTAAGAATGATAAACTCATAAGCCCACATTCGGGCCCAGTTCACCAAATGGATTATTTGCGTGCCACCAACGCCTAAAGGCAGCGACAACTGGATAACTCAACAAAAGATGATTTGTTGAATTGAAGTACATCTTGCACATCAGCTGCCAAAGAATACAGAGGGGTATCAACATTCTGCCTCACTTTGTCATTACTACAAACCAAGATTATCGACAACAAAGCAACCCTTGTTGTCTCCATCAGGTAGCCGGTATAAGTTGGGAGTCGTTGCCACAACATTCCAAGAATGATAAACTCATTAGCCCACATTCGAGCCTAGTTCACCAAATGGATTATTTGCATGCCATCAACGCCAAAAGGCAGCGACAACTGGACAACTCAACAAAAGATGATTTGTTGAATTGAAGTACATTTTGCACATCAGCTGGCAAAGAATACAGAGGGATATCAACATTCCTCCTCACTTTGTATTTATTACAAACCAAGATTGTCCACAACAAAGCAGCCCTTGTTGTCTCCATCAGGTAACCGGTATAAGTTGGGAGCCGTTGCCCCAACATTCCAAGAATGATAAAACTCATTAGCCCACATTCGGGCCCAACTCACCAAATGGATTATTTGCATGCCACGAACACCAAAAGGCAGCGACATCTGGACAACTCAACAAAAGATGATCAAAACCGTCCACCACGTAGCTAGTCCCACACCGTTCATAGAAGGGGATTCCTTTCCGAGTACACTTGAAAACCCAAGATGCTGTAGGGACCGCCGCATGGGTGTTGAGCCACAAGAGGCCCGAGTGCTTAGGCCCCGACAACTGCGAAAGAGTGCGCCAACATTTACAAAAAAATCCGAAAACGGAAACAATAACAAAGAACCACATTTCCTCCGTGCATTGTCGACATCTGCCGGAATATCCACTACAGGTCTCAAAGGCCTATAAACCACCAGTACTTCCTAAAGTCGTGCCCGTTAATGCTACGCGATTTTAGGAAACGTACGGGCCACTACAGGAGCGCCCAAATTCATCCAACTTGAAACGTTTTTACTCTATTTTTTTCCGCGGCCGATAGCTGGGCCAAATACTGGTGGTATAAGCAAACTTCACAGTATGTTTGCACAAAAATCTGACTTTTCCAGGATGGTCCGGCTCACACCGATACCAATCCCCAATCCCTAGGGTCAAAGGCCAGCTGCGAAGAAGATTTTCTCACCGAGAAAGAGATCCCATCAGGGCTATCCTGCATACCTTGCTGCAGTACACCGACTGGAACCGACCCCTGAAGATTGGTAACAACTGGAACAACAGACCTCTTGACCGGGCCTCTGCCCAACCCACAGTAACCATCGGAGATATCCCAAGCACTGTACATCTGCAGAATCGGATGAGCCTCTCCAAAAAGTTAGGGCATTTAGGCACAGGGCCTGTTTTTTTTTTTTTTTTGTTCAGGGCTGGGACTTGTGCCAGTCCACGGCATGGGGCAATATATTTTTGCTACTGTTCCTTCAGACTCCCTGTCCCAAGCCTTCGAAGTTTTTTTTTTTTTTTTTTTCCTTGAAAAAAGTCCAGGTTGTTTGTAGAGGCTGGATTATAGACAGGTGAGAATCACCTTCGGCACTAGGCCATGTGGTAGGCGAGGCTGAATCGGATGCTCAACTTTTTTTATTTTTTTGACACAAGAGAATGCACTGATGCTCACCTTGGCTGGTGCCGTGTACTGGTGGTCTCGACCACATGCCCAACTGAACGGCTTTATGCACAATGCAGTGGTTCCAAAGGCGGAGGCATAGCACTCAATCCTTTTGCAGATGTGCACGTTGATTTCGCAGTCTCCCTAATTGCGAGCGCTACTGAAGGTCCGTTTTCCAGGACCAACTGTGGAAATCCCTCGAGTCTGCTAGGAACACAACTCCTCTTGCAATCCAACTCTCACCGAAGTCTCCCACCCCCAACAAAACCGAAAGGCCCATCTTCCTCATGCAGGATATCTGCTGAAAGAACACGGTTTTCGTTTTTTGTATTTAATCCCTCGATTTATGCGTGTCATCCATTCGTAATCTTCTCTGTATGTCCCGAAGGCCCATGTTTTTAACCACCTGCGGGCCATCGTAATCTTCTCTGTATGTCCCGTAGGACCATGTTTTTATTATCTGTTTGACTATATATATGTATATATATATTATATAGTTACATATATCGTCAAACTGTACTGCCCGGTAAGCCGTCGGCAGAGAGGGAGACGAGGACAACAAGGAGGGGCTGTATATTTTTATTATATATATCGTCAAATAGAACTGCCGGGTAAAATATATACTGTTTGTGACGATATATATGTATATATATATAAATATAAAACCGTCGGCAGAGAGGGAGACGAGGACAACAAACGAGGGGCTGAACCCTATGTGTACTTCAGGTCCTTGTACATATATCCCCACACTATACAAAATGCTAAGCTTTCCCAAGGAGGAAAAAAAAAAGAAACTGCTAAGGTAAGAAATCTCGAATCGCGGCCATCCGTGGTCGACCGGGTGACGCCCCAGATGGTTGCAGAATGTTACAGATCTCAAATAGAGGCCGTCACGTCCTAATGGGCCGACGGTGTGGATTGCCGCCCGATCTTAAGCATTCAAGATCGTGCAGCAATCCAGGCCGTCGGCCTGGTACTGCAAGGCCAACGGCTCGGATGGACCTAGAATCTGCCTACCGGTACCAGTGGGTGCTGCTGCCGATCTACCGGTAGGCCTACCGCCGACCTCCTAAACAATACCAGTACCGCGTGTGTGTGTGTGTGTGTCTCTGTGTGTGTGCGTGCGTGTTCGTGGCTCTGTGCGTGTGCTTGTGTTGTCATGTTCGCTATATAGGACTCCACAAAGCGGCTGTGCTAACAGTTCGTCGGATTTTCACCGACTCATCAGGAGGTTGAACCCCGACTGTCTGCGTAGGATGCATTTGTGTGACGGATACGGAGTCACCATCCACGTCGACCAGAGTTTGCGACACCCTGAGAAAAGCGGTGGGCTTCACTCACACCAGCCCTGTGTGCGTGTGTGTGTGTGTGTGTGTGTGTGTGGGTGGGTGGGTGTGGGTGGTGTGCTTGCCGCATATATAGTATATATCTATATATACGATATATAGAAAGATAGATTATATATATATGTAGAGAGAGAGAGAGAGAGAGAGAGAGAGAGAGAGAGAGAGAGAGAGAGAGAGAGAGAGAGAGAGAGAGAGAGCTGCTCTAGATTGATGCTGGAAGCCGCGAAGACTGAAACTTGGAGGAGCGCTGAACAGCTCCGCGTGAAAGAGGTAAGCCGCGATCTTCTCCTTTCTTCTTTCTCCTCCTCCTCCTCCTCCTCCCTTTGCACTCGGACTCTCCATCTTTCGACATCCTGTCACAATACCGTCTTCGCCTGCTTCACTCATTTCTCTTCCCCCATGGCGACCTCCCCCCGCGCTACCTTCCTCGCCTACATCGTCAGATTTTAAGCTCCGGCTGCTTCAGCTCCCATCATTGCGCACTCCTCCCGCCCTGCTTGGGTGCGTGCCGCTATTTTCTATCTCACTCAAGCATATCGTTGGTTGAGTCCAGACGAGCAGCTTATGCCAAGTTGTGTGGATCTGTGTTCGTGTGTCACACACACACACACACACACACACACACACACACACACACACACACAGAAAGAAGAAGAAAACAACCGGAGAACTACTTTGGTTTTCTATCACTGAGTGAGCTGAGGAGGAGGAGGCGGCACGCACACACACACACACACACACACACACACACACACACACACACACACACACACACACACACAGAAAGAAGAAGACAACAACCGGAGAACTACTTTGGTTTTCTATCACTGAGTGAGCTGAGGAGGAGGAGGAGGAGGAGGAGGAGGAGGAGGAGGAGGAAGGGTACGAATGTGACGTTGCTGACGACAGGAAGAAGCGGGATGGGAAAAGGCGAAGGGTGCAATGGTGTTTTTTTTTTTTCTTTCTCTTTATTAATTTCGATTTACCTTTCTCTTCAATGTCTTCCTCTCCTTCACGTGTTTCTTCTATTGTCCTCCCCCACGTCATCCTTTTCAGCGCGTCCTCCTCGTCCACGTCAGCCTCTGCATGTCCACTTGCGTGTGGAAGCCGCGGAGGCCAATATCCTCCACCTCCAGGAGAGCACGGGAAAGGAAGGGGAATGGAGAAGCGATGATGATCTGGAAAGGAGGGAGAGGAGAGGAGAACGATGATGATGATGATGATGGACGGGGATAGGAAGATGAGGATGGTGACTTGAAGAAGTTGGATGGGAAAAGGGGAGGGGGAGTCTATGGTGAAAGGGGAAGGAGGTGGCTGTGGTGATTTCGCTTGTCTTTCTCTTTATTTATGCGCGTTTCGCTTTCTGTTGTCATGGTCCGTCCTCCTCATCTTTCTCCTCCTTCTCCATGTCTCTTTTCTCTATGTCGTCCTTCTCCTCCACATCATCCTTCTCCTCCACCGCATCGTTCTGTCTCGGATGGCAATATCCCTCAGACAGAGAGGGTCTCGCATGTGCGATGGACTTGCGGGGCTGTGAGTGTGCTGGACTTTGTGTCGCGCGGGACTTCTGGGAAATAACAAAACGTGCGCGATGGCCGTCATGCCCGCGATCAGAACTG